CCCGCCCCATCTCTATTCTTTTCCCCTGCCAACTAGAAAATAAAAGCGTCTTATTGAAGTGCACAGGAGCGCGCCGCGGCCAACGAGTTGGAACCGACGCAGCGGAGATGACGACGAAGACTTAGGACGGATTCCGGTTACGTCCCGGGCCTAGCGCGGCCCCACGGGCGGCCCGCCCCGCCCTAGCGCGCTACGCTCCGCCACGGCCCGCGAGACACGCGATACCTCGTGGCGCCCTGTGGAGCCCTGCGGTCGCTAGCGCAGCTGGCTCGGGTGACAATATTGCACCCCGGTGGCATAGACAAGTCAGCAGGTAAAGCGCGTCGCGGCCGGTCACGGTGGCCCCCCACCGACGACATTTCGTAAATATCTTTTTGTCAGAAAGCACTTCCTGCTCAAGTTGAAGTATCCATGGCCTATTCCTCCTCGACGAAGTGTTATTTCTTCGGTAGCAGACCACTTCATCCAATCCAAACACCTCTAAAACTGATTGGAGGGAAAACGGAACAATGATTTCATTTCCCTCCAAAATTTGGAGGTGATGTGGAAGTGGTCAGTAGACCAGAAAATCCCCTCCAAACACATTATGGAATTGCCCTCCAATGTTGGCGGGGGGCCGTTCACTCTAAACAAAGTAACGTCTACTGTGTCGATTACCCCTAAAGTCAATAACAGTGTTCCTAACTTCGGACTTGCGCCCTAAAGTCGGAAATTGTACCGTTACGAACAATTTCTTTGCAATCCAAAGAACGAAAATTGTTCGTAAAGTTGTGAAGTGTTTAGTTCGTAAGCTTTTTACAGTGCGGTGGCACGCTCTCCTCAGACCCGTGCCTGCCGCCGTGGAGGTAGGCCACCCTTCAACCATACCGTCTCACCTCTCACCACTCCAACCCCGGGCTGGGCGTGGGCGCACAGCACCCGAGCACCCAACAGCTGACCGGGACCGGCCGACACGACACGCCGTGGCCGTGTCGTGCCTCGTCATTCCTCCCTGCGGACTCGTCCCAGACTCGTTCAGGGCTGATAATTGTTTACTCGTGGCTCGTTGCTTAATTTGAGCAATTTGAGACAGTGTGCACTGTAATCGGTACATGAACATGGCGTCTGCCATTACCGTGGATGAAAGAGACACTTTATTAGCCTCCAGTATGAGCGGGTAAGTTAAGATTCCACTCCACTGCCGCCGTTGTGCTCAAGATGTAACTCCAATCTGACCATGACCTAGGCTAAGGGCCTGGGCCTAACCTCCCACTTCCACCATGTGATTTTTCTTCCCTAGCACCTCTTGTGGTGCAAAGTGATGTGATGATCTGTGTAATGTTTAATGCCTTTGTGTTATGATGGCATTACTTATGTGTTCTGTGTGGTTGTGCACTTTAAGTGAATTGTGTGAGAAATTTGCAAGGGTGAATGGTGACGTCACAACTGAGGTGAATTTATGCGCTTGTTTGCGCTTTATCTCTTTTCCTTGGGCCCAGGGTTTAACCTTTCTATATTTTTGTAAGTGTTTTCTGTATATTGTGTGCAGTGTAACTGTTCAGACAAGTAAATGTTCTGCAATTAGGGTGTGTATCATGTGATTGTGTATACTTTGTCTACCGTACTATTTTGTTTTCTGTTGCCTTTAATGTAGTGTGTCAACGCCTTAAATTTTTGTTTGGACTTTCACTATTTTGTTTTGGATGATTTAAATGATTGTTTAATCAATTCTTTGCGACTGTTTGACTACATGTTCGCTTTTCAATCCAATGGATGCATTAATGAATTTCTCATTTGCCACGATTCTTTTGGCTATTGAAAAATTAATGTATTTAAAAGGCAAGGGTATAGATTTTTTTGTTCAAGTGTTATTATAAATTTACTATTATGCCATGCATTGATTTGACTTAATGTGTTTAAGATCAGAAAATAATGTGAGTTAAATTATTTGTGGGTTCATGCCCCACGTTAGTGCTCATAGGTATTGCTTTTGATTTGGCTCATCATAAGATCTACAAATGTAATAAATGCTTGCCTGACCCTCTCAAAAATATTTCTTAATAATTCAATCAAACTGAAATTAGACCTTCCAACTAAAACAGCCAGGGAAAATACCCGAGAAGAGTTTGTGCACAATCTTACCCACTACTAACCCCATGACAGCGGACCGCCCGATGCTCCCCTCTGCCTCCCTCTTGGTCGACCCGTACCACGCCCCTGACCGCCCCTTACTCTTCACTGTGGGTATTTGTTTGGTGTTATAACACAGTACTGTACCCAAAAGCCGTTCCCGGAAAGATTCATATCAAAACTTTACGTCGATTAGAGAGACATTCGTATCGAAACTACAACATTTCGACGTAGATTCCACCATTTTGAGATAATTTCTTTGTCGAATCAACTGCCACTTCGCACTGTTTTATTTTATTTTATTTCTTTTTCAGACTAGCAGCGATGTTCGGTAACGCTCGTCTCTGCCGCCGGCCGGAATCCAAGATGTTCACAAGGCCAACAGGAGAATCGATAGTGTTCAACTTGTACCATTGCTCAGACAAAGAATCCTTGGCCAGAAATATCGAGGTATGGTGATTCGTATTGTTTGATTTCGTGTTCTCTCTCTTACTCTCTCTCTCTCAAGTAATTTATTTCTTACGCAATTTTTGAACAGTTCGTTGTTTATAAGCCATGGTCTTGTTATTCTCACAGTCTGGAGGCGGGCCCGTAGTTTAAAGAGATACATTCGAGCGTAACTCTTACATACTTACTCTTCGAGATGGGGCGGTAAGGTCGCTCATTGTGGAAGATGAGGAGCATTTTTCTTCGACCTTCGTGTGGGATAGCATGAAGAAGCACGAGCTCCAAAACATCCATGACTATCGGTAAGTTATTCTCTGTTGAGTGTAATTGCTCGGAATGCCTCATCGTTTTCGAACGTACTTTGTGACATGTGTGTAATGTTTCAGATCTAATATAACGTCCAACTATAGTCCGAACCTCGACATGGAATGTATTTTGCGCGGACAGCAACGGACCTTGCAGGAAATGGCGAAGCTGTGAGTATTTTATTAATCTCTAGGCTGCCCCACTCTCTTCCCTCTTATGGCGCAGGGGCTCGCAGGCGGTTTGGTAGGCAACTTGCCTTCCCACTCCCCTCTCGGCTGATTGTGAGCAGGTCTTGTTTTTCAATTCAAAGCGAACCAGATCCCCGCCCCACGGCGTCCGCATGTGACGCGAGCCCCTCTGGCGGGCGCGCTGGGCGGAACACCCGAAAAGTTGGTTACCGAAGTTAGTTTCACTATTCACTGAGAACAGTACAGCGCCTGCGAAGCTCAGGGTAGGCCAGCCCGCGGTACACGCATGCACGGCAGCAGCGAGATGTTGCCTACCGTCTAGGCGCTATGAGGCCTTGCATTGCCTAAACCTCTGCAGTTTCGTAACGGCAAATGACGGGCGCACTCTCTGGATGATCCCACTACAATGAGCGCGATACATTAAGTTAAAGAACAAGTCTATTTGCCATTAGAACACTATTTAATTTGTTTGTCTAACGTCTCCTTTGTCGTTTTTTTTTAAGGAAACTTGTGCCACGTAAGCGGTATACGCCGAAGGAGAAGGAGGCCATTGTGGCCTATGTTATTAAGAACATCAAAGAATACCATAATGGAGATAGACAAAAGTTTTGGTCTGGAATGTCTGGGGTGAGTTTTTGTTAACAGTACATAGCTATTGATTTTCATAAAATATTGCTATATTTCATCCATTTTAAATTGTTTAACTTCCCGTCCCTACTCGGCAAATTATTTCACTTGCTTTTCCGACATGACACCATTTTGTTTTCCCAGGCTGGAGTATTTGCTCACTTTTGTTAACCACATCTTTTTTTTTTATCTAGAACTTTGGAATTCGAAGTGGGGATGCTCTGCGCAGCAGTTCAGTGCGATAGTGCTCGCCAAGAAATTGAGGCCGGACATGATGGAGCAGCTTGGGTGTGTTAAACTTTT